CTAAGTTGCGGGCACGACAAAAAGAATTGTAATACGATTCAAATAGAAATAAATTTATATACATATACGTACACAAACATTTTTGTTATTTTTAGATTACACCGCAACTTTCATGATTCATCCCGTCACCATCCGAAGCTAATAACTAAAGCAAGATCACGTTCTAACATTGTCTAGTGGTTGCTTTTTTTAATTGTAGGTATGAAAGACTTGGACAACATTGTATTCATCAAAAGGTTCGCTAACTCCATATTATGTACTCTAGTCTTGATCAAGGAAACAAACAAAACATATAAGACAATTCCAAAATCTAATGAACAAATAATTAGTAATCATAAATTTCATTGAAAAAAAAAAAAAAAAGACGATACGTTTACTTGGATTGCACTAAAACCAAAAGTAAATGAGAAATTTAAAAAAATGCCACTTTTCAAGTGTCACTTTACAAAAATGTCAAACTTTTGAAATCTTTATAAAAATGCCACTTTTTCAAAATTATTTTTTCTTTATATTATTTATGTTTGGGTTAATTATGTTCTATTATAGTTTAGTTTTGAGTGTTTAAGGGGTTTTAGGTGTCAAAACATTTTTTAGGGTTTAGAATATTAAGATATAGGTTTTACAAATCTATAATTAGTGGTATTTTTGTAAATAGATACCTCTAAGTGGCATTCTTGCAAACGTACACATAAAAAGTGGCATTTTTGTAATTGCCCCAAAAAATTGGTAAGGTCATAATTATCACACACAAAAAGTAAATTGGAAAGGCCATAAGACTATCTAGTTATTGCTTTTGTTAAATTGCATGAGTACATGGACAAATATGTACAGGTATCTCACCAATATAATACTACTATTTTTGTTATATCTTAAGTTAAGAGACTCACTATTTAATATTACTTTCATTAGTTAGATATTCAATGAATATCTCATCAATACAATATTAATATTTTAAATATTATTTAGTTTAAAAATTTCATGTTAAAATTTCACTAATATTTTTAAACATACCATATTACATTTTAAAGACGTTAAAAAAAATCATATTACGTTTAAATTTCTTTTATAAATTCAAGTTTTTATTAGTTAT